TTGGCCGAAAGGCCGTTAAAGGGGGCTGTATCTGCCTAGTCAGCAGGTTAAACCACACTGACCATTGCCAAAGCCCCGACAAGTGGGGGCGCTTTGGCGAATCTCGATCGCTCATGCGATTGCAAAACTTGTTTGGACCAGGCTGGCTCGAAACCCTTTAGTGAAATCTGACGACTAGTGTAACAACCTTCGCGGCTGCTCTTGACTCATAGTGTCGTGACTGCAGAAGCCCAAATTCCAGTTCGGTGCTCGTCCCCCAAATTATCCCTAGTGCCACACGCATCTTGAGGTCGTCAAAGTCCTAGCCATGGCTCTACCGTGTTTAGATGGTAAGCTGGCCTTTCAGCCGATTTCTATGCCCTTTCCCTACGGCGGAGGCTGGCTCGACATAAACGTGGAACACGCCGACAGGCTACGACCCGGTGAATGGGTCAGCGGGATCGTAATTGATTGGCTCGGTGTGTGAGTATCACGGTTAGGAAATCATAAGGCCAGATTCGTCACGGTTATCTCATGCGTTTCCTTTGTCGCAAATACGCGCGTGCGAAGGATGCTGCAGTACGAACACGGTCGCGACCGCAACAAATGGCTTTACAGTGGATCATATTTCTGGGAATATGCTAAGAAGGACATTTCGCGGCGTGAAAACGCCTATACTTTCGGCCTGGGTATTTTCGATTTCACATATGTACTCGTTCCGATAAATACCGAGTGAGTAGTCGTCGCGTCTAGTCGTAGCACCATATGTATTTCGGTAGTCTAACGTCGGCGTTACTGATGTTAGACCTCATGTGTGCCTTAGGAGTCACTGGAGCCTGATCGTGATCGAGCGCATCCCGAGGCCCGACGACCCGATTCCCATGAACTGCGTGCTCTGGCACGCTGGCTCGTATGGCACGCATGCCGGTGTCGACGCCCCGTTGCGAAGGTACTCTCTTTTTAATGGCAGTCTGCTATTGTCACGTACAGAAGTTCGGGGTTAGGATAGCATTGAATCTATGTCTCCCGGTGTGCATGTACTTACGAAACGAGGTGATAAGATACTGTGCATGGATCACTGAGTCGGACGCAGATGCATGGGCGGCGAGCATCCTACTAAGGCAGGTCACGGTGAGTGTTGTTGCCTTGTGTGTACGAGCTTTGAAACAATCGCATCTCCCTTTCCCTGCACGCAATTTCCACACCGAAACCCCACTCCCGTCCCGGCCCTCACCACGCGCTCACGCACCCTGTGATTGTCCAGATACCCATGCAGGCAAATGAGAACGACTGTGGTGTGTTCACGATGCGTGTGATGCACACGTTGGTCGAGGATGGTTTCCATAAACTACCGGCGTGTGAGCTTGTAGGGACGCCACTCCATTGGCGCCGTCAGTACCGTCACGATTTGAGGAAGTGGTCTGTGTATTTTCGGGCAAAAACAATGTTGGAGGTTGGAGGTGGGGCATGGGGCGGTGAAAAGCTGGTAATGGGGCGGGTAGCAAGCGAGAATGAGGCGGGAAGCATGGGGGAATGAGGCCCGAAGCAAGGGGGAATGGGGCCTGAAGCAAGGGAGAATGAGGCGGGTAGCAGTGAAGAATGGGGTGGGAAGCAAGGGGAAATGGGGTGGGTAGCAGGGGGGAATGAGGCCGGAAGCGAGGGGACATGAGGCGGGAAGCAGAGGGAATGAGGGGGGTCGCAAGGGAGAATGAGGCGGGAAGCAAGGTGGACGCGGCTCTGAAGCAAGGGGGAATGAGGGAGGTAGCAAGGGAGTATGAGGCCCGAAGCAAGGGGGAATGAGGCCTGAAGCAAGGGGGAATGGGGAGGGTAGCAAGGGAGAATGAGGAGGGTAGCAGTGAAGAATGGGGTGGGAAGCAAGGGGGAATGGGGTGGGTAGCAAGGGGGGATGAGGCTGGAAGCGAGGGACATGAGGCGGGAAGCAAAGGGGAATGAGGGGGGTAGCAAGGGAGAATGGGGAGGGAAGCAAGGGGGATTGGGGCCTGAAGCAAGGGGGAATGAGGGAGGTAGCAAGGGAGTATGAGGCCCGAAGCAAGGGGGAATGAGGCCTGAAGCAAGGGAGAATGAGGCCTGAAGCAAGGGGGAATGGGGAGGGTATCAAGGGAGAATGAGGAGGGTAGCAGTGAAGAATGGGGTGGGAAGCAAGGGGGAATGGGGTGGGTAGCAGGGGGGGAATGAGGCCGGAAGCGAGGGGACATGAGGCGGGAAGCAGAGGGAATGAGGGGGGTAGCAAGGGAGAATGAGGCGGGAAGCAAGGGGGACGCGGCTCTGAAGCAAGGGGGAATGAGGGAGGTAGCAAGGGAGTATGAGGCCCAAAGCAAGGGGGAATGAGGCCTGAAGCAAGGGGGAATGGGGAGGGTATCAAGGGAGAATGAGGAGGGTCGCAGTGAAGAATGGGGTGGGAAGCAAGGGGGAATGGGGTGGGTAGCAAGGGGGGATGAGGCCGGAAGCGAGGGGACATGAGGCGGGAAGCAGAGGTAATGAGGCGGGAAGCAGGAGGGAGTGAGGCGGGTACGTGGGAGGAATAACTGTGTGAGTGAAGAACAAGGAAGCGGGTAGCATGGGGGAATGAGGACAAGATCAATAGGGAATTGTTTGTTCATCCGTCCTGCCAGCTTGATATGCCAACAAACATGACACAAAGCACAATGGAGAGGCCTTGAATCAGTCCTGCATGACTTGACAACAAGTGTGGCCAAATGAGAGTGTTGGCCACAACCAGTCCTCCATGTCTAGAGAACACTACCCGTAGGGAAGTGTTTGTCACTGGCGTTCCTGCTTGACATGTATACAAACAATACACAATGGGTCAGTATGATGCTGCAAAACATACCTGCATGTCCCCACAACTCTAGTGGGTAGAACAGCAGGGGTTTCTCAACTCCGTTCCAGCATGAACCTAGAACATACAACACAGCATGCTCTTGGGTCCCTGCATAAAGGTTGTCCTGTATGGCATGAGAGCAGCCATGCCCCATACGGGGAGTTTGTGTCTGGCTCTATTATTATTGCACCTCAATTGGCATGAGAGGAGACATGCCCATACGCGTTGCATAACAACCAGGCAGCAATCAAATAATGCATACTTACTAATCAATCGATGTATCAGAATGACTGCTCCACCGCAGACGGTTATGTGCATGTTCTGTGAAGGTGGTGTTTGGTTTTACACTGTTATGTTGCATACTTGTCACCATGCTAATGGGTTGGGGGGACTCCTGTTACGAGTGCAATTGAGTGAGCGAATGAGGATTGCACTATCGGGAAAAAAGTACAACTGAGCGAAGGTATGAGCGAAAGGTTATATAGCGAAACCACAGTGGTAACGGTAATGGACTGTGGTTGTCACGCGACGGGCCTGGGACTGAGGTTGGGAAATTGTCGAGGCGAAGGTCCGGAGCGCGGGTTACCGTCGAGCCGTGAGGTCGGGGTGCGACGTGCGAAAGTGGCGGGCGGATTGTCTATGCGAGTGGTAACGGTGCTGACTGAGGTGCTACAGTGATGTACGCATTGAGCAGGGATGTGAAGTAAGGAAAACGAGATTTTCCTTACAACTCCATAACCCTCTAATTCTATTTTTATCATGTACGTACACCACACTATTGAGGCTTTGCAAACTAATGCGCCATTACGTGCCCCGCCTTGCGCCATTCCACTCGACTCCACGCTATGCCACGTACGCGAAGCTCCCTGATTTGCGAACTAGTCACAACCACACACAAGGAACTTTTGAGTCTGCGTTTTTATCGCAGGCGTGCCGCAACGGCTTCGTGTCGACCTGTCGCATCGCTGTACGACTTGCTGCAATCGAGCGTCGCCGTTTCTCCGCAGACCCTATGTGACTCTTGACGTGCAGCTTGTGTAGGTTTGTGTGGCACGCGAGGCACTTCATTGTAAACAGTGCGACAACCCGGGCAGAATAATTATGACCCTCGCAAACCCAGATACAGTAGCGCATTTGACTGTCAAGTTTAACAAAAAGAAGCCCACCCTGCCGCTTGTGGACTGATACTCAATTAAGCACGTTAGGTCCCACGGAATCTTAACACGGCAGTGCTGCATTTTTTTCCTTTATACACCTCAACCACCAGGCGATTGGTTGTTGGCGGAAAAGGGGGACCTGGCAGTCGCAACGTGCACCATAGCAGGAAACACTCAAACCCTCATCACCTCCGTGCTCCCCTTGCATGCCTCCAGCTGTGACGATCGTCTGCTCTAGGCCCCAGACTTTGCGTCGTCCCTCTCCCTCCTCAACCAATTTTTTATGCTCGTAGACTGCTGTCAGGTTCTTCGCGGTAGCACAACCCGCAACCTCATAGTACTGCGTGAATGGAAAGCTAGACATCGTAACAAGGAAGTCAGACAATGAAGGGGCCCGAGGGGGTGATCGTACTGGCTGATTCGACTAAAACCCCCGACGAAACAAATTTTGCGGAGTTAGTAACAGCAGATAAGACGGCCGAGATCATAAAAGAGTATCGCAAAAATAATGCGTCGCCGGCGCGAGATGTTGTTGATTCCAGACGTGTCTCGTCATCCTGGTGACAGGGCATATCATCCCCTCCGAAACCAAGGGATAAGCGCGTGAAGCGCTTAGATGATCTCGTTCCCAAAGGCGGCCAGAAAGGTACGTATTTATGGTCGCAGATGCAGAATATTCTACTTGTATGCATGAAACGATGCTTGTAGTCGTGTCTGACCTGTTGGAGGTTATCGTCTCTCCAATTGTGTTTCCACATCACCGTCAGCGGACAAGCGTGACAACCGGGGGGGGCGTAAGCACCGTCCAAGAAAAAGAGGCACTCGTTCACATCATGAGGAAACGCCTGCGTTTGAAGGCGACGAGGAGGGCAAAGACGGGGGACCTGACAGCTTAGGTACGCTGTGGGTGTGATATCGACGGTTTATATTTTGCACGTTACTCATTACAATGACGCCGCATGTCATGTTGCAACTTCCAGCCAATAAGATAATGTGTGCACAGTATTTCTTATGTACTTGTAATGTCCGCCTTTGCAGATGGGACGGCAGGCCAACGTGCTCGTGGTGGCGGAAAGCGCAACGGCGGCAGGGCTGCCGCGGCCAAGGGCAGTCCCTCGGGCAGGCAGTCGCAGGATGCGGATGGGGGCGACGAGGGGGATCATGCCGAGCCGGTCACTACCCGTGGTGGCGGAAAGCGCAACGGCGGCAGGGCTGCCGCGGCTAAGGCCGATCCCTCGGGCAGGCCGGCGCAGGATGCGGATGGAGGCGACGAGGGGGATCATGCCGGGCCGGAAGCTCGTGGTGGCGGAAAGCGCATCGGCGGCAGGGCTGCCGCGACCAAGGGCGGTCCCTCGGGCTCGCAGGATGCGGATGGTGGCGACGAGAAGGATCATCCCGAGCCGGAAGCTCGTGGTGGCGGCATGCGCAACGGCGGCAGGGCTGCCGCGGCTAAGGGCGGTCCCTCGGGCAGGCAGACGCAGGATGCGGATGGTGGCGACGAGAAGGATCATGCCGAGCCGGAAGCTCGTGGTGGCGGCATGCGCAACGGCGGCAGGGCTGCCGCGGCTAAGGCCGATCCCTCGGGCAGGCCGTCGCAGGATGCGGATGGAGGCGACGAGGGGGATCATGCCGAGCCAGAAGCTCGTGGTGGCGGCATGCGCAACGGCGGTAGGGCTGCCGCGGCCAAGGGCGGTCCCTCGGGCTCGCAGGATGCGGATGGTGGCGACGAGAAGGATCATGCCGAGCCGGAAGCTCGTGGTGGCGGCATGCGCAACGGCGGCAGGGCTGCCGCGGCTAAGGGCGGTCCCTCGGGCAGGCACTCGCAGGATGCGGATGGTGGCGACGAGAAGGATCATGCCGTGCCTGCATGCCGTGGCGTTAACGATCATGATGAGGACGAGCCAGCAGCAGTGACTGATGGGAAAGGTGGACGTGAAGCTGTGATTCCGTACCAACGGCGCAAGGCTGTGGATCCGGGCAGTTGCGACCATAAGGCGAGACAAGCTCGGCACGGCCCCAATGTGCACGTTTCGAGCTCGTCTGGTTCCGAGGAAGATTCGAGCGACAGTGAGTCGAGCAGCTCATCCGGGAGTGAGGAGGTATACGAGGACGAGGATGAGGAGGAGGAGGACGAGGATGATGAGGAGTTGGAGCCGGAGAGCGAGGATGGGGAGGAGGCTCGGCCTTTGAAGAGGAGGAGTGTGCGGAAGCTCAAGAAGGGCAACGCTAAGCAAAAATCGGAGAGGGGACGGGTGAAGAGCTGTAAACAGAGTGTGCGTCGTGCCAAACCACATGGCAAGCGCCAGAGACCTCGATTCGAAGCTAAAATTGTGGGTGTTCGTAGCAAGGCGAAGCGGGAGTTGAATTTTTACGAGTCCATGGGGATACGATGTACATCAAGCTCTCATGATCGGCAAGCCGCGGACCCGTACGCTGCGTTACGCGATCCGATGGGTTCGGCTGGGAAGGGAGATCCGATGGCTTGGGGGTCAGCGCGGTTCGGCACGGAAGCGACGGACCCGCCCCCCAACCATATGGGGGGTCGCGCGGTTCATGTGAAAAACGAGGGGGCAACGAAGCGGCACGAACCCTCGGCAGCTGCAGCAGCGAATGACGGTGTGGGAGGAGGTGTGTGGGCGAATGCCTTGGGTGAATGTGGCGGCGGTGTGGAAGGCTCCATGTGGGATGTACGGGAGAGCAAGGGAGAAGGGGGGGACGAGAAAATGGATCCGGCGACTAAGGAGGGGAGGGGAGAGAGCATGGGCACACCTGGCGCATCCAGTCGGCCGGATGTGGCTGGCGGCAGGACTGTGGAGCAGCTCATGCGAGAGCTTGCCCAGCGGGATCGCGAAATCGCTGCACTCAAGGCAAGGCCAGGATCAGAAGGACCTGTCAAGCCCTGCACCCCTCCATCTAGGCCTCCTCCTCTAGCATCTCTGTCAAGCGGCCCATCTGTAGGGGGCCTCGATCCAGGCGTGGCGCCAGAAAGCCCAGCGACGGTAGACGTACCGGTCCGTCGAACGCGTGGGATGCCCACACCCAAGCTGCTGAAGGTGAGATTGTTTTAGTGTTAAACAATGTGTGGCATGGGGCTTAGTGATAGCTGCAGCTCTCTCTCTCAACCCCTCTTGCTGCTGGTAAGCGTGTTTGTGGCATTATGCGCAGTGATAGCAGCATGTCTGCAGTGGGATAGGCATTCCCAGTACGCCTTGCTTCAGGGACGTGGCGCTGGGCGTACGATGCTCTCACATTCTGCCCCCGACCCCTAGCTCACCATAGCAGTTATCCATCCTCCATTGGCCCCTCTCTTCCATCCCTTCCCACCCTAAACCAGAGCCCCTGTTCATGGTGCTGGTGCTGGTGTGGGTGGCACGCGGCGCAAGGATAGCTCATTGTAGCAGTTATCCTTCTTATCCCTCCCCCCTCTCTCCCATCCCTCGCCTAGCTCTTCCAGAGCCCCTGTTCCTGGTGCTGGTGGTGGTGTGGGTGTCATGCGGCGGAGGGATAGCTAAGAATAGCAGTTATCCTTCATCTCACTTCCCTCTCTCTCCCATCCCTCCCCTCCCTCTGCGAGAGCCCCTGTTGATGGTGCTGGGGGTGGTGTGGGTGTCATGCGGCGGAGGGATAGCTAAGCATAGCAGTTATCCTTCATCTCACTCCCCTCTCTCTCCCATCCCTCCCCTCCCTCTGCGAGAGCCCCTGTTCATGGTGCTGGTGGTGGTGTGGGTGTCATGCGGCGGAGGGAATAGAGGAAGCCGTATCCGTCAACCCCACGCGGCCCCCTTTCTGTCCGCCGCTCCTCCCTCCCCTCTCTATCCCGTCCCTCTCCCTCCTCGTCCAGAGCCACTGTAAAAGGTGCTGCTGGTCACGCGTGTGGCATGCGGCGTAGCGTGCAGGGGGGTGGCTGCAGTGGAAGTTGAGACTCCTCGTACGAGGAGAACATGAACCCTCGCGCTGGGCGTACGGTGCCCTCTCACTCTACCTACTCTCCCGACTTTCGCTCTGACTATTTAATCCCCTCTCTCTCCCCTCTCACTCTACCATCGCTCCCCTACCTCAACCAGAGCTCATGTTCATGGTGCTGGTGGTGGGGTGGGTGTCATGCGGCGGAGTGATCGTAAATCGCAGCAGTTATCCTTCCCATCCCTCCCCCCTCTCTCCCATCCCTCCCCTCCCTCTGCGAGAGCCCATGTTCATGGTGCTGGGGGTGGTGTGGGTGTCATGCGGCGGAGGGATAGCTAAGCATAGCAGTCATCCTTCATCTCACTCCCCTCTCTCTCCCATCCCTCCCCTCCCTCTGCGAGAGCCCATGTTCATGGTGCTGGGGGTGGTGTGGGTGTCATGCGGCGGAGGGATAGCTAAGCATAGCAGTCATCCTTCATCTCACTCCCCTCTCTCTCCCATCCCTCCCCTCCCTCTGCGAGAGCCCCTGTTCATGGTGCTGGGGGTGGTGTGGGTGTCATGCGGCGCAAGGAATAGAGGAAGCCGTATCCGTCAACCCCACGCGGCCCCCTTTCTGTCCGCCGCTCCTCCCTCCCCTCTCTATCCCGTCCCTCTCCCTCCTCGTCCAGAGCCACTGTAAAAGGTGCTGCTGGTCACGCGTGTGGCATGCGGCGTAGCGTGCAGGGGGGTGGCTGCAGTGGAAGTTGAGACTCCTCGTACGAGGAGAACATGAACCCTCGCGCTGGGCATACGGTGCCCTCTCACTCTGCCTACTCTCCCGTCTTTCGCTCTGACTATTTTATCCCCTCTCTCTCCCCTCTCACTCTACCATCGCTCCCCTACCTCAACCAGAGCTCCTGTTCATGGTGCTGGTGGTGGGGTGGGTGTCATGCGGCGGAGTGATAGCTCACCATAGCAGCTATCCTTCCTCTCCCTGCATCCTCTCTCCCATCCCTCCCCCACCTCTTCCAAAGCCCATGTTCATGGTGCTGTTGTTGGTATGGGAGCCATGCGGCACAGTGATGGCAACAGCCCTCTCTCTCAACCTCTGAATTCCGCCCTTCATTCGGAGGCATCACTCAATTTTACGTTTCCAATCCACCCGTCCGTCATAGGTGCATTTCGCCGTGGGGCGGGACCGGATGTGCCTAGAATGGCCAGACGATGCCATAGACTTCTACCCAACGCTCGAACAGCGCCTTCAGGTTTTGTATCAGGTTATCAGCGAGACGCACATAATTAAGCTGATGCAGCTTCGAGAGGCTATGGAAGACAAAATCATCGTCGACGGCTTCAAACGCGCTTGGACGTCATGGAAGAACGATCGTGGCTTCCACCTCAAGCGCAGAGTGCTTGTAACTTTCGGCAAGAAGGTGCAAGGCCTGCGTGCAGCCGATCTCTGGATGGGCACCAAGAAGAAGAAGAAGATGTGGAGAAAATACCAACCGAGTGAGTACGCGCGTTTCTGTTTTACTTCACCATTCATTTCATCTGCTCGTGCACCCCTTGTGACGATGATGAACAACTTACCCTAATGCATCCCCACTGTGGCACGCAACTACATACCTGCTCTCCTTGCCCAGCCTTGTAGCGCATGTGCAGTCACATCCGCATGACAGCTTAACGTTGGTTCTTCTGCCACTCTCCCCTTCTCCCGCCCCCCCTTAAATCTACAGCTCTCCCCTTCCCTCCCGCCATCCCGTTCTCTCCCTCCCTCCATTTCTCTTCAGCCCTCCCCTTCTATCCCGCCCTCCATGTCTCTCCTGCCCTCCCCCTCTCTCCTGCCCTCCCCCTCTCCCCTGCCCTCCCCTTCTCTCCTGCCCTCCCCTTCTCTCCCGCCCTTCCCTGCTCTACTGCCCTCCAGCCAACCCTCCATTCATTCTATACCGCCCTCCACTTCGTCCATACCCTTTGGACAACCCCTAACCATGTCGTGCATGATCTTCGTCCCCGCCTTGTCCTGCGTGCGCGCAAGAGGGAATCAGCGGGTCAGCTCGTGGGGAAACAGCAGAGACGGGCTCCCGTTTGCCAACGGTCGGTTTGTAGATGCGGTCCGGGAAGCATTTCGGAATCTCTGTGTCGGGCGCCGGGTGTGCGTCAAAGCCTACCACATTGCCTGGTCAATCATGGTGGTAAGGCATTATTGCTCTCCCGTCCGTTCGCTCTAGCTTTGCTTGCAATTCTTGCCCGCCAGACTGGAATGTGGGGCTATTTGCGCAGCCCGTGAACTCTACACGCGAGTGTCCACATATGTCTCTATTTCCCCTCTTTCCCATACTTTGCTACGCTTTTTCAGATTGACCAGGGCTTGGCAAAGGTTAAGAAGACCGACTGGAACGTCTCGAACTCCCACCGCAAGAACACCGAGTGGATGACGGGTTTGCACCGAAATGTGCGGTGGATTATCAAGGACCACTTCACACGCCACACCCCCGTGTACAACACAGTCGTGCAGGGCTTCAAGTGGGGCGACCGTGGCCTGTATGTTCACGAGTCAGGATTTGAGGCGTTCAAGGGGACGGCCGCGCCTGACGAGGAGAAGAAGGACTTGAAGGAGGAAGAGCAGGAGGTTTACGACGCGGAGGACTTGAAGACGGATGACGAGGAGGATGACGAGGATCAGGAGGAGGAGGAGGAGGAGGAGGAGGAGGAGGAGGAGGAGGAGGAGGAGGAGGAGGAGGAGGAGGAGGAGGAGGAGGAGGATGAGGAGGAGGAGGAACAGTGGGGGCAGGAGCGGAGGAAGAGCAAAAGGCACAAGAGATGCAAAAGCAGGGGAGGCAAGAGGGATGAGCAAGAGGATGAGGAGGAGGAAGAGGAGGAGGATGTGAAACGGGGGGGGGCGGCAGATTAGGAAGGGCAGAAGGCAGAAGAGAGGGAAACTCAGGGGAGGCAAGGGGGAAGAGGAAGAGGGTGGGGAGGAGGAGGGGGAGCAGGAGGATGAAAATCATAGGGGGCAGGAGAGGAGGAAGGGCAGAAAGCACAAAAGAGGCAGAGGCAAGGGAAGCAGGAGGGAAGAGGAAGAGGAGGAAGAAGTGGAAGAGGAGGAAGAGGATGAGGATGAGGAAGAGGAGGAGGAGGATGTGGAACGGGGGGGGCGGGAGCTTAGGAAGGGCAGAAGGCAGAAGAGAGGGAAAATCAGAGGAAGCAGGGGGGAAGAGGAAGAGGATGAGGAGGAGGAGGAGGGGGAGCAGGAGGATGAAAATCATAGGGGGCAGGAGAGGAGGAAGGGCAGAAAGCATAAAAGAGGCAGAGGCAAGGGAAGCAGGAGGGAAGAGGAAGAGGAGGAAGAAGTGGAAGAGGAGGAAGAGGATGAGGATGAGGATGAGAAGGGGGGGGGCCAGGAGCGAAGGAGGGGCAAAAGACACAAGAGTGGCAAACGCCGGGGAGGCAAGAGGGTCAAGCGATGGGGCGACTAAAGAAGGGGGGCAGCAGATGAGGCATGAGTGGAGTTTACAAGGGGGGGCAGCAGGATAGGCATCACACATTTGCGAGAAGACATCAAAACGGAGGTAGAGGCATTGGTGGAGACAGCAAGGGGGGCAGCACGCCAGGCAAGAAAGTAGAGTCAGCATGGGGGGTAGCCCGGGCGGCAAAAGCATGGAGTCAGCAAGGGGGGCAGCAGTAGAGACAATGTGAGCAGTGTCCAAGGGTGGGCAACCAGCAAGGCAACCAGATAGTGCAAGAGGGTGCAGTAGAAAAGGCATGAGTTGAGAGAGTTGGGGGGGCAGCAGAAAAGGCACGAGCAGATAGAGGGGAGTGCACAAGGGGGGCAGCAGGTTAGGCATGACTGGAGCAAGCAACAGTAAAGGCATGACTGGGGAGCGCCAGGGGCGGAGCAGCAGACGCATGAGAGGGCAGAGCATGCAATGAAGCAGTGGACGCAGGGGCACGCTCGACCTAGAGCACCATAGATGGGGTTCGGTGGAGGACATAGTGTACTGGAGCATGCTAAGCAGGTCGTAGGATGATGCAGCTCAACCTAACTGACTAGGCACAGAGGGTTTAGGATGCTGTTATATGTGCGTTTTTAGGGTGGAATTATCAGCTTTTACCAAAGCTTCTGAACTGTTCATTTTGAATGCAAGATTGAGGCAACTTAACATAGTTTTGAATTACATATAAGGTCGTGCAAGTCTCCTATATAAGCTTATTTTAATGAACCCGAAATCCCATAAAGAGTACATTGCAATGAGATCCGATCTTCGAATTTGCTCTGCGGAAACTTGTACCAAACTTCTTCCGAAGGTGTTCACCTGGCAGGTTTGAACAGAAAAGCATTGGAGAAGCATTTAAAAAGCGTTCGAGAAAGCATTTGGAAAGCAACCTATACTTTCTCAAAAAAGCGTTCGAAAAACGTCGTTCAAGAATCATTCGACAAAACTCCAAAGCAACTTTTTTCATCGGTTTTCCGGATGCAGGATTTTTGTGATGTGGACCACGCCATCTCCCCCTCCATCCCTGCTCTCGCAGTCGGGTGGCCCCATGCCCGCTCCCTATGTGGTCACTGCGCCCTCCGCCTCTCCTCAAACAACGCGTTACAGGGCTGGGCAGTGGCAGCAATAGTGGCAGGTGTGGTGAAGAGATATGCCTGTCAATTATGCACCAGTCGCAAAAGGTTCTCCTTGCATGGCAGATAACCACTCTTCTGCCACCACCCTTCCTTCTCTTTCCCCTTCCCTTCACCGAGGGCTGTGGCGTTCCCAGCGCCGTCGCTGTAGCCTCCTCCCCCGCCCCGCGTCCCGCAACAACTTCTCCGAGCAAGGGGAGGGCGAGAGGGCACGGGCACGGGAGGTGGCGACCACGGCGAAGAGAAGTGGGGGCGAGAGGGCACGGCGGTGGCTGATGGACGAGCTGGGGGCGCTGGGCGTGGACAGCGGGGAAGAGAAGTGGGGGAGGCGGGGAGTGGGGGTGGGTGAGGTCCGTTCTGTGAGAATGATGGGGAGGGGGAAGGGGAGAGCGCAATGGAGAAGGGTGCGTGGGGCCGGTGTGCACGAGTGAGTGGGCTGGAGAGGCACGTCCATGCTGCTGCTGCAGCTGAAGCTGCTGCTTGTGTGAGCATCGGTGCCTCGCCCCCCCAGCCCAGCTTGCGGCAGCTTTGTCTGCGCGCGGTGGGCAGACAGGCAGCCGGCGCAGTGGAGCGGCAGAGTGAATTGAGGGCAGGCAGAGTGAGGAGCAAGAGGCAGGTAGCGTGGGGTTAGCAGGGAGTTTGGGCGAGGGGAACGCGCATACTGGCGGGCGGCGGCCGTGGTGGTGCGGATGGTGGCAGGCTGTGTCCAGCACGTTGCTTCAATGACCGCCCTCCCTCGCTCTTTGGGTATGCTTTGCACATGCGTGCCCGCTGTGACTGTCCCCCACGACATGCCATCCGACACCACGTCTCTGCTTCTCACATTCGTCCCACCAGCTCCTCGCCTCTCCTCTTTCTCCCCCCGCTGCCCATGCCAGGCCCCTCACCCCAGCCCCTCCTCCGCACGCCTCGCCTTGCCTCCCCTACTCCTCCTCAGCACCAACTCCTCTTCTGAGTGACCCCAAAGGGACGACTTGGGGGCAGCATGGGCGAGAGCAGTTGTGGAAACACAGGCGGAGCAGAGGTGGGAGCATGCGAAGGGGTGGGGAGGGGAAGGGGGGTTTGGGGGACCTTGGGTCAGAACATGGGGGGGAGCATGAGCGGCAGTTTCATTGATACGAACATGAGCGGAGGAGGTGGGATAGCAGGGGCAGGGAGACAAGGTCACCCAAGCATGGAGGGAGTGCGGCGGCCATAAGCAGGAACAGGCAGCATAGGTAGCACACACAGCACGGGCAGCATAGGCAGGAGGAGCGCGAGCATGGATGTGTCACGCCGTTGCTGGTAGTCGATGCCATTCTCACTCACAGACGCCTCCTCCTCCCTGGGCTTCCCGCAGCACCGGCAGCATGGCAGTGCCGCAGTGCCCACAATGGTGGCGGCGGTGGCATGGTGGGCAGCAGTGTGGAGTGCAGTCACAGCATCAGCGTGGTGATGGGGCGGCACAGCCTTGACATCAGCGGCAGCGGCGTGATGCTGCAGAGAACGACTGGGCAGCTGCGGCAGGGTGGAATGGGGACTTTTTCAGGAGACTTACGCGCGTTAAGCAGCACCAAAAAATCCCCATCGAACAAAATTAATCACCTCTTTTCCCGGTGTGATGCCATCAGCTACCCGATGTCCCTAGCTCTCCTCTCCCTCATTTCTCCCACTGCCTTCCCCTTCGCACACCGACAGCATTGTACATGGGCATACAAACCGAGTTACGAGATTGATTTTCTTTCAGGACAAAACTCGACCAAGTCGAGTTAAGCAAAACTCGCGATTTCAAGTAGATGCGCTCACGGCCACATTTGGCATGGTTGGGGGGGTTGCTGTGGCGGCGGAAGGCATTGGGAAGGTGTGGGGTGAGCAAGGGGGCGACGTGGAGTGGGATAGGGTGGAAGAGGGCATGGTGACTTTACGTCTGTACAGGATTTAGGGTTGCCAGGGCGAGGTGGAAGGGGAGAGGGTTGGGGGGAATGGGGTCTCTCTGCAGCAGAGATTGACTTTTGCATGATGACGTAATCCAAAATCTGATTTTTTCGCAAACCGCACCCCATCCCCCTTCTCCATGTACCCACCCCTCCTCCATTGCAACTCGGAAAATTTTGTTACGTTCGAGTCGAACCTGGGCCGTTTCGATATGGGTTCACTCAGGGCACCTAAGTTGCAAAATACGCTCAGGACACTGCGTTTAGCGGATATACGCTAGCGTTTACACGCTAAACGCTAAACGCAAGCTAATACGCTATACGCTTGCCAATTGTTTTTGGGGCAGCCCGACCGAAAAAAATATGAATATACGGAAAGATGCGGGATTGCACGACGAGCATTTTGCCACCGTCAAATTCACGTCCGCGATTTGTGCAAGAGTGAACGGCAATCTCCGCGCTGATCGGCAATTTCCCTTCCCTGCAGATCCGCGCAGATTGAAGGTTCTTCCCGCAGAAGGGATGGGGGGAAAGACTCTCCCTATATCAACGTCTTGTAGATCTGGACTGGAAGTGACGTGACGACTGTACAAATTTCAAATATCAAATTGGTTGGATGAGATAGATGCAATGCGGTGAAGATAGGTGATGGGAGGGGGAATTGGTTGGAGGCAACATTGGCGATGGGTGTGGGGCACGAATTCCAGCATTGGCAATGGTTTCCCTGTCCAGGATCTCTCCTACGCCTCCTCATACACTCTAGCAATCATGCCTTGGGATAGCGAGCCCGAAGCAGAGCAGATTCGCGCAACGCTATTGAAGTCTATAGCCTACGAACTCTGCATCTTAACCCGATTTTGGGCCGAGACAAGGGTGGTTATCTTGGAATGGAGAAAAACTTACCTCTGAAACATAACCCCTTAGATCCCCCCCCCCCCCCCCCCCTATAATAGCCCGGGCGGATTTTTTTCCCTGCCCGGGAAAGTTTTTTTCCTGCCCCAAAAAGCGTATGTCCAAATCGCTCCCTTACGCGTATAGCGTATATACGATACGCGTATATACGCTATAAGCGTATTTTGCAACTTAGCAGGGCACAAAGAGGCTGAATTGGCGGAAGGAGCTTTCCCTCCTGGATGATCATGCCATTTGATCCCCCACCTTCGTCCTTTTTCTTCCCCCCCTCTCCTTTCCCTCAACTTCCCTTTCCTTCCCCACTGCTCCCCCTCCTTCCTCCCCTCCCATCTTCTCTCTTGTGCACCCATCTCGTATCCTTCTTACCACCCCCTCCCTGTCATTCTCCCTCATGTCTCCCTTCTCATCTCCAAGTCCTCCGCTCACCCCATTCAGCTCCTCCACCCTCCCCGCATGCCGTGTTGCTCATTCGTACAACTACATTGTGCTCTGTACGTCACTTCACTTCATGGCACCCTCGTTCATCTGTCAACCGTTTCTTGCCATTCAACCTGAACATAAACCAATTGTCCATCCCCATCTCAGGTCCTCCTCACACCATCACCCTCCCATCTGCATCCCCACAACTCCTGCCAAGCAGCATCACTGTAGCCACAATCTCTCCCTTAGTTGGTTCATACATTCATCATCAAACCCCAGCATCCCCTGCCACCCGGTTGATCTCGTTTTGTTATGCCCTTCACCCTATCATGTCATGCTCCTCGTTACATCACCCCATATGCACGAACCAAGAGTCCCTTTCGGCCCCCCATCATCCTCCTTTACCCACCATTGCCTTCCCATTGCCTCTCACGTCCTCCTCCTCCACTAGCCATCATGTCAGCCCAGTGTTGGGACAGCTTTGGAAGTGCACCTCATTCCTCATCCCATACCTCATCCCATATCTCAAACCTCTCCCATACTTCATCCCATACTGCATCCCATACCTCATCCCACATGCCTCATCCCATACCTCATCCCATACCTCATCCCATCACTCATTCCATGCCTCATCCCATGCCTCATCCCATGCCTCGTCTCGTACCTCATCTCATACCTTATATCTCATCCACCCTATCCTCTCTTCCTGCTGTCAGCAGTTTGATCATAAGATCGCACCATGACCTGCCCTTCATACCATCGCCGAACAAGCGTGGCTGAAGTGGGTTCAGCTTATGCTGTATGTGAACCACATGACCAGCCATGTGTGTGAGTTTGATTCTTATTCATACTGAATAGGCCCAAATCGTGTGTTCTTATGGGATAAGGTAGTATGGGGGCAGCTGTGCCGTGCACTTCATCCCCCGCCTCATTTCCATACCACATCCATCTACTCTTCAAACGCTTCACATTGTTTATAGTATGCCTGCCCTTCACTCGTGCCCTTCAACTTGGCTAGTTCAAAAACTGTGTGGTCTTCGGTGACACAGTGCAGCACACTACATGAAGAGGGTGAGATGAAATGGAAGTCTTTAATTGCCTGGATCCCAGTCAAATCCCGTCCAGTTGGAAGGAATGGAAGTGTTTATTGCTTCTCTCACTGTGTTTTGCTTGCTGTAATTCACAACAGGTTGCTGAAGGCAGTGGTGACAGAAGCATTGAGAGAAATGGGTGACTTAAGGGCGGCGGGGCCGCGTAGGTAAGGGCGGCGCAACGGGCCGCTAGGGGCGACACGGAGGGTCGCTAAAAAAAAGGAAAACGCGCCTCGCGGCGCGCTTCGGTGGGCCCTAGAAGCAGTCCCTAGGAGGGGACATGCTCTGATTCCATGTGAAAAGAAGAACGCGAATGAGTGAACTATGAACAAAGTGAGTACATATAGGAAACCCTAATTGGGTTGTACCCCCTATGGGATACCCCACTATAGCCTACATAACAGCATAAGCTATAATGTTCTGACAGGTACTACAGTGGTGGCATCCTTGGCTGCCAGCGCCTCTCTGCACAACATGAGGTGGGCACGAGAGAAGGGAGGGTAACGGGGATAGAAGGGCAGATTTGGTTTAAGGAGGGAGGAGTTGCATAGACTGTTTTTGCGGGCCGTTGCTGTAAGGGGAGGAGGAAATATAAAGAGCGGGAAATGGCATTAGCTGTACATCATGTGAGCGCATGCCTGCCTTACACTGCCTTACACTTTCTGCGCAATGAGATGGGCATTTAGATGCAACACACACTGGCAATGAGTAATACTCACCGATGTGCTACGCAATGGCTGGAGAAAAGGTGCTGGGCCATTACACGCACCCGAGCCACCAGTCCGTTGTGCTACCCATCATCGCACCAGCGCCATCCGTGCTAATCCCGGCGACCCTGCTCTTGTCGATTCCAAGAGAGTCAAGGAGGGTCACCAACACGGAAAGCAGAGAAGCGCCATCGCATTTCTCCACCGTCAGTTGACCGATGTACTCCGTGACTGCACGAGATTCACGGAGAAACGTGGCAAACACGATCTGGTGTTTGACATGCACACGATCTGTACTCTCGTCACAGGTTATTCCGATGAATGGACTAGACTGCAACCAGACTTGCTGACGAGCACGGAGATATGCAGCAGTGCTTGCGATGAGCTCGGCAAACCCGTATCTGCATAAATAGGAAAAAGGTACCGAGTATAAAAAACACTGTGCTTGTTGTGAGCAACCTCCGTACTAAGGTTCTCGAGTATAGCAGCTGTTGTTGATCAACGGCTCACCTGGTATAATAAGCACCGTAGCCGTTCTTGGGGAAGCCTGGTGTCTGTCGCTCTGCAAAGTGACGAACCAATTGAACCCACATCTCAATCGGTGCGTCACATTTGCAGATGAACAGCAGGGTCTCTAGCAGAGTGATGACTCTAACGCTGGATGTCTCCAGCCATTGGACAGTCGATGATGCGCTCCTGCTTGTGAGCCGCCTGCTCCGCCATGGCCTGTCTCTCGATGACCGCTCTGTCACCTTTTGTTCTACCGCTTTAATTCTCTACAACGAAACAACGAAAATAAGTTCCTACCATTATACGGATATAATCATCTACGGAACCCTTATGCTTGTACATAACTTTCGTGGGTTCGACGATATTATGGATTGGGAGCGAATACTTCTACCAATAAAAAAGCCTAACGTCGAAGATGTCCGGCTACAAGAGCGGGCGACCTACGACAATTGTTCCGGGCAAATACAAACAGTTCTACCGACAAAATATTCTACCACACAGATCTGCGCCTAAATAAGCAACCTAACAAGTGTGACTGCAGTTATCCTAACCGGGCTGACCCAAAATAAAAAAACCCACTCTATACGACCTACGTCACTACGTCGAGGACACCAATGTTCTGCTAGTGGGCCAAGCAAGCTTAAAAGACTACGCTGGTGGACTAACAGGTGCTGGATGAAAAGATGTCATAGAGCTTGCGGAGCATGAAATGCAAATGAAAAGGAGCAAATGAGCACAAAAACATCCATTCATACCCATCCACCACACACACAGAAGCCCGTGTCCAGATCTGGTCATCCAACCCTGGGCTGGATGATTCTCCCGCCAAAAAAAAAAGTTCCCTACACGACGCTTATTGGCTCTTGCAGCCTTGGGACTCTGAGAACAACTGTTGCCATGGCCACGTGTGCAGAACACCTACACTTGGTAAACAATGACTATAAAACACAATGAGCAAACGTAGGATGCTACACTTATACTCATGTTATTCATAAAACACATAAAATCAATGGTATAAAGGAACACACCTTCTGCAGCATTAAGGCTGGAGCCATGAAAAAAAAACCGGGTTAAAGCATATAACCACGCAAAAAAGACCAGTTGGTCGCAACTGGCCATGCAACCGGCGGTCGTCACTTGTCGGCCAAAGAGTTACGATGGCGAAAAATATCATACCCATGAAATCACTGGCACAAAGGGTCACGGGCAGGTTGGTTGGAACACATCTTTCACGGTCAGGTGGGCGCGGAATTGTGAGCGGCTGGCCTTGTCGTATGCGGCGGAGCCTTGCGCCCAAGCCCTTCGGAATCCGGAGCACACGGATCCAAGGCCTTGGATCATGGGGCAAACGCACTCGGAACTCCGCCACAACGTTATCAGAGTCCCGCAGAAGGGATGGGGGGAAAGACTCTCCCTATATCAACGTCTTGTAGATCTGGACTGGAAGTGACGTGACGACTGTACAAATTTCAAATATCAAATTGGTTGGATGAGATAGATGCAATGCGGTGAAGATAGGTGATGGGAGGGGGAATTGGTTGGAGGCAACATTGGCGATGGGTGTGGGGCACGAATTCCGTGCAGTGGGTCACTCGCTGGCTCGCAGGAGTGAACTGGTGAACCCCCGCATCCTGCAGGTCAGCACCACTTACCAAGTTCGTAGAGAATGAGGGGAAGTAAAGACCAGACAGGTTGCCAGAGGGGGCCGCCGGACACGGGAGGACAGTGGAGAAGTGAGTAAGGACAGGACCCCCGGAGGGGTCTGCCAGAGAGAATGCAACTGGCCGACCAAGCGGCGTGAGTGTGGTGCGGTCTCGAAAGAAGGAGCGAGAAGCCCCCGAGTCAAGGGTGAAGGTGTGGGAGGCCAAAGCCGACGCAGTACCTGATAGAGCAGACTCACCAGCACCTGAAGAAGTAGACGCACTGGCACCTAGAGCAGCAGCCTCGCTAGCACCTAGAGGAGCGGCCTCACCAGTACCTGGAGCACCAGTCCCAATGCCCATGTCGGGCGGAAAACACCGGTAACAGTCACCCTCATCAGTAATAGTCACACCATACATGGCAGCAAGAATAGCATCAAAGTCAAGGTCAAAGATAGCTACTCCCGCCCTAGACAGCTCGCCCCATCGAGGGATCTCAGTGACCTCAGGGAACTGGTGACGCCAGGCGTCCGTCAGGCAGCCAACGCAGCGCTGGGTGGAGTGCGCACCCCCGCACGGCTCACCCGCACGGTCGCCGGTGCGTAGGACGTAGGTGCACGGACCAGTACCCCCACCCCGCTGGCGTGCAGCGTACCACTCACGAAGCTGCTGAGGGGGGGGGGGGGATTCTCACGAGTGCGCTGCTGCTGATGCTGCTGGCGCTGACCACCACCGGAGCTTACCCTTTGCGCAGCGCCACCCCGACCAGCTCCACCTCCTCCGCCGCCGCCTCCTCCACCGCCGCCACCTCCGCCACCGCCGCCGCCGCCTCCGCCTCCACTGCCGCCACCAACGCCCCCACCCTCGGCACCACTCCCACCGCCACCCCCACCCCCTCCGCCGCCTCCACCACCGCCTCCACCGCCCCCGCTAGCTCCTCTAGCGCCCCTGCCCCCCTTGCCCTTGCCAGTGCGGCGTCTCTCGCTAGGGGCAGACGCTGCACCGACCGACTCAAGACCAACAAGGTCCGCCGCAGTAGCAAAGGCAACAGAGGGCAAGAGAGGAGAGGGGGAGCACCCCTCAAAGACAGGGGCACGAGGGTCACCACGAGAGACTCCTACAACGACCATGCTCTTCTCCGCTGCTAGGAGGCGCTCCTCGAGGAGGTCAACGGTGAGGGTGGTGGGGCAAACGGAGAGAAAGTGGTCCCTGACCGGGCGAAGGGTGTGAGGGAGGCGGGTGACTATGTAGTAGAGGGTGATGTACATAGGGGGGGGGGGTTTCTTGGCGCAGAACTCAGCGGGAAGGGCAACGCGGTAGCGAATGTCAATAGTGCAAAGGTGTGTAATGAGGTTAGCGACCGCGGGAAATGCTGCGAGGTCAGGGAAGAGGTACGGCATGATGAGGCGGCTAAGTGCAGCAGTGGCAAGGGAAGAGTAGCGTTCAACTATAGCGTCGTACAAGATCTTAGCACCCTTGTACTGGCTAAAGTGCGCACGCTTAGAGGTAGGCAAATGGCAACGCACAGCAAGACATGCAGGAGCATCGCCCGTGGCCCACTGTGAGCGAACAGTGGCGTCACCATCAGCAGCAAGGGCAGGAGAGGCACCAGAAGTGAGGTCAAAGAGGGAGAGACCGTCTGCCCTATCGCACTGTAGGAAAAGCTGCAGCTCATCTACCCTCGCGTCAATGTCAATGGCCCGACCCTCAGCGTCAAAAGCGAGGACACTGGGGGTAGCCATGACAGTAGTAGACTAGCAGCGCGAGCAGTAGGCTAAGGGCAGCGCAGTGGTAGAGGTGCCGCTCTTACCAGGCAGGCGAGAAGGACCGAGGCTCACCGGCAGGAACAAGGCCGCGACGGTAGTGACCAGGTGTAGCAGACAGGGCGGCTCGGACGGCTCGGCGGCTCGGCACCAACAGCAGCTCGGCGGCTCGGCGACTCAGCGGCTCGGGCAGCTCGGTGGCTCGGGCGGCTTGGCTGGAACGGCGGCTCGGCAGCTCGGGCGGCACGGCTACTGCAGGTACAGTGGCGGTTGCTGTTGCAGTGACGGCGGTGGTTGCCACTGCAGGAGGCAGCGACGGCGGGCCGCTGTAGGAGGTGGCAACGGCGGCCGCTGCTTCAGGGACGGCGACGGCGGCCGCTGCTGGAGAGACGGCGGCGGCGGCCGCTGTGAAAAGGAGAACGTGAATGAATGAACTATGAATGAAGTGAGTACATATAGGAACCCTGATTGGGTTGTACCCCCTGTGGGATACCCCACTATAGCCTACACAACAGCATAAGCTATATAATGTTCTGACACACCCCCATAGGCAAAGTGGGGGAGAACAAGGGGTCACAAGACCAGTCAAGCAAAGCAGAGCAAGCTCAGGGTGGATCACAAAGTAACCACACAGTCCGAGCACAACGACCAGGCCACAAGGCCAGTTCACATGCAAGATTACACATATATATATAGAGCTAGACAAGCAAGAGCAGGTATATATATGTGACATAACAAGCAAGGTCAAGAGGAGAGCAAGTGAGGCAAAACAGGTACAAGACCCAGCTGAGTGCAGAAGCGCTGATGGTCACAAGGCGCAAGTGCCTTGGTGAACACATCAGCAGTGTTGGCCTCAGAGGCCACGTACGCAAGTCGCAACTGACCACGCTGCTGCAGCTCACGAGCAAGAAAGTAACGGAGAGCAATATGCTTCGTTTTGTGCTCCAAGCGCTGCTCTCGACACAAGGCCAGCATGGCCTTGTTGTCTACGTACAGCACTGGAGGAGAACGAGGCTGCTCTCCAAGGTCAGTCAGCAGGTAGGTGAGCCAGCGAAGCTCCTGTGCAGCCATGGCCCCGGCGTAGATCTCAGCCTCACAACTCGAGCTGAGAACAGAAGACGAGCGAGTAGCCCGCCACGAGACAGAGCCGGAACCAAGACTGAAGGTGTAACCTTGTGACGACCGCTGCGTAGCCTGGTCGTCAGCCCAAGAAGCGTCCGCGTGCCCAGTGAGGACCACTGGACTCCGCCCTCCAAGCACTAGCCCCATGCTCGACGTATTGCACAAGTAGCGCAACACCCTCTTCGTTGCAGCCATATGCTCTGGTCGGTGTCTACCAGGAGCAACATAGCGTGCAAGAATGCTAAGAGGGTATGCAAGGTCAGGTCGTGTGCAGGTCATCAGGTACATGAGGCAGCCAACAAGCTCTGGGTACGGGCCACTCGACTCTACGGACTCATCCGAAGGCAGAGCTGAGAGCCATGTGTGACTGAGTCAGGGTAATGGTGCGGCGTGCTCTGTCCCGGGTGATCTCCAAGCCAAGGTAGCTGCGCAGTTCACCCAGGTCTGTGCACGTGTGTCTCTTCAGCAGCTCGGACTTCACGTAGGCGAGTCCAGCAGTGTCAGCTGTGGCAAAGACCAAGTCGTCGACGTACACGAAGATGTAGAACGGCGATCGAGAGGTGTCGGTGCGCAGAAACAACGACGGGTCAGCAGTAGAGGGAGCAAACCCAAGGGCCGCAAGCGTAGTCCTCAGTGTGTCGTGCCACTCACGCGGTGCCTGGCGGAGACCGTAGACTGGCCGTCGGAGGCTCCACTGGGTGCTAGGAGGGAAAGTCCAAGTGAAGCCAGGTGGACGGTGCAGTGAGATCTCCTCGTGCAGGCTGCCCTGCAAGAAAGCAGTGCTGAAGTCAAGAGAGTGAAGCTCGTAGTCGCGCTGAGTGGCTATGTGCAGCAGCACCCGAAGAGTGGTCATCTTCGGGGTGGGAGAGAAGGTCTGAAAGTAGTCAACTCCCGGCCGCTGACTGAAGCCACGACCGACGTACCACGCCTTGAAGACAGGTGGAGAGCCAGGCGGCCGCTTCACCCTGAAGATCCACATGCCACTGACGATGTTCGCCCCAGGAGGGGGAACCGCGTCAACGTAGGTGCCTGTGGACTTCCAGGAAGCCGTCTCTGCATCCATAGCTGCCTGCCACTGAGAGGAGTATCGACCCTCTACGGCCTCCGCGTAAGAACGCGGAGTCGGGATGTCTAGTGCATCCGGGTCTCCCTCAGGGTCAAGCAGTACGGACGCGAGATGAGGTGAAGCAGCAGCCAGACACTGGAACTCCTCTTGCCTGTCCTCAAGGACGTCCGTGCCAAGAGCACATTCACCCCCAACGGACGGAGGACAGACAGACGCAGACTCAGCAACGAGACTAGCAGAGTAGTCCAGGCGACAGCGAGCAGCAAAGTCGACTAGCTCAGCAACCAGAGCAGACGCAGCAGTGGACTCAAAAGAGGGGTCGGTGACAACAGTAGCAAGAAGACGCGTGACAGTAGGACTGGCAGCACGAAGAGAGTCCGACTCCGGGTCGGCAAGCGCAGGAAGAGAGGACGCAGGAGGAGAAGGCAAAGGGGCACGCAGAGGAGCAGTGGACGGAGGCAGAGACATCCGGTGTGTGCCAGGGACAGGAGGAGGGCGCTGACGCGAACCGCGACCACTAGCACGAGCAGCACGAACAGGCGACGCTGGACGAGACGCAGGCTCACGACGCTCAGCTAGACCTCCAGTAGGACCAGTGTAAGGAGAGGGAGCAGGCAGCAGGGAGGCGGGCTCTAACAGTGACCGTGACTGGACAGGCGGTGGACACTCTACAGGAGGAGAGAGACCAAGAACGTGCTGCAGGAGCAGAACGAAGTACAGCCGAGGCCGCGCGGGGACGCCAGACACAGGAGGGACCGCACCAGCACCTTTAGCGGCAGCACCAGCGTCAACAGCACCTCCAGCGGCAGGACCTCCAGCAGCACCCGCAGCAGGACCACCACCAGGACAGACAGTAGTAGTCTCAGCACCAACACCCTTAGCAGCACCAGCTCCAATAGGACCCGCAGCCTCAGCAGCTCCGGGACCGGCGGCACCAGCACCCTCAGCGGCCGAAGAAGCTCCAGCTCCAGCAGTGCGCCTCTAGCGGCTAGCAAACCACTCTCGCAGCTCCTGTGGAGAGAGTGGCTCCCTCCGAGACGGAGCACCCGGAGAACCTCCAGGCCCAACACCGCCAGACGCCACAAGGGGAGGTCCAGCGGCGGCAGGCTCCGCACCTCCAGGCTCAGCAGCTCGAGACGCAGCACCCCCAGGTTCAGCAGCTCCTGATGTAGCACCCCCAGACTCAGCACCCCCAGGCTCAGCACCCCAAGTGACAGTACCCCCAGGCTCAGCACCCCCAGGCTCAGCACCCCCAGTCGCAGCACCCCCAGACTTAGCACCCCCAGGCTCAGCACCCACGCGCACGGCACCCCCAGAGTCAGCACCCCCAGGCTCAGCACCCGCAGCAGTACCAGAGTCACCAGCAACCTCGACCGGCTCGACTGCGTCAACCTGGGACACACCTGAAGGGGCAGGACCCTGAGGGGGAAGGGGGTCTACGGGGGGGGACCTGGCACAAGGAAGTGCGGCGGCGGGGGGAGGGAAGGAGTGCGGCAGGGGAAGAGACGGTAGAAGGGGACTGATTCGTCGAACGTGACGTCCTGGGAGGACAGAACACGACGAGAGGAGGGGTGGTAGAACTGCCACCCTGGAGCATCAGGGGGGAAGCCAAGGAAGACACAGGGAGCAGCACGAGGGGACAGCTTGTCCGCAGACAAGTCGCGGACAAACGCCCGAGATCCCCAGACACGGAACGCAGACGCATCGCCGACCTTCCCAGTCCACAGCAGAGCTGGGGATGTACGGACCTTACCCGGCCGAGAAACCCCGGGGTTAAGGTTGATCTGATGCGTCGCGTACCGAACTGCAAACGGCCACAGAAAATGGGGGGCAGCCGCATGCATCATGGACGTACGAGCGACATCCATGACCATGCCAATGCGGCGCTCAGCAATCCCATTTTGCTGCGAAGAGTCCGGAAGCGTAAAGGCCTGGCGGATGCCTCGTGCACGACAGTAGGCTCGCAGAAGGCCAGAGGAGAACTCTCCGCCTCTGTCAGAGTGCAGACGCAGAACAGGAAAGTCCGAGCCGAAGCTCCTCCTGAGCTGGAGACGAGCTGCGCGGATCCAGTCGATCAACACCTCAGTGACATCACCCTTGCTGCGCAAGGGGGAGAATGTGGTGTAGCGCGAGTAGTCGTCAACCACCAGCAGGAAGTAGCGCTCGTGACCCTATCCACACACGCGGGCCGGGCCCCACACGTCCATGTGAAGCGTCTGCAGAGGAGCCTCTGTCGGAGGAAACTGGGAGGAGTGGGGGGCAGCACGGAGCCGCCCCTCGACACAAGGGACACAGGAAGGTCCAGGCCCCGAACGAAGGGGAGGGAGAGACCGGGGGAGACCAGAGACAAGGACACGGGAAGCCATGTCCCTAAGACGAGGCAAGGAGGGGTGGCCAAGACGGTGGTGCCACAGGAGAGTCTCGTGAGACAGGAGGCGACACGAGTAGGGGGCAGACTCAGGACCAGACCTGGACGCAGCAGCAAACACCTGACCCGACGCAGCTACCTGGCCAGACGCAAGGACAGGAGGAGACTCAATGGTCAGGGTGTAGAGACTCGACCCCGGCCGACGCGAAAACGTGGCCAAGTGTCGGCCTGTGCGGGCGTCCGAGCAGTGGGTCACCCGCTGACTCGCAGGAGTAAACTGGTAAACCCCCGCATCCTGCAGGTCAGCACCACTCACCAAGTTCGTCGAGAACGAGGGGAGGTACAGACCAGACAGGGTGCCCGAGGGGGCAGCCGGACACGGGAGGACAGTGGAGAAGTGAGAGAGGACTAGATCCCCAGAGG